ACTGAACAGGTGTGTCAAAAGCAGCGAGGGAAAAAAAACAAGAGTAGGTGCATCTTTCAACTGGTGCTTAAAAGTGTTAACTGATGGAATCCACTCTGAAAGGAGAGACAGAGGGAGGCTTTGCTGTTGGATGACTGAAGTTTTTGCTCAGTTCTAACGGGACACAAGTCTTTGACACACCTGCTTGTTTGTTTCAAAGTTTTGCACAGATTGTGATCTTCCTGATACAGCTGCACTGTTTGTGTGAAGTTAAAACTGTTATGGGTTGCTTCGCTTGGCGAACAGTCTTATCACTGATTGGGGGGAGTTTGTTTTTTTTTTACAATTTGAAATATTTGTATGCACCAATCAATATCTCTCTTCATTTGCCTAATTTTCAAATGAATGAACAGAATGAGTCATGATGGCATTGGTGAGTTAATGAATTCCTGGCTGCACAATTTTTAGAAGGGTGACTGTTAAATGTGAGGAATTAATTGTGGTGAAATAATTCAATTCATTTGATCTTTTTTCAAGTGGGAGGCCTTTTTACAGGTGACCTGTTTGATTCCTGCCCAAATATAATTACAATGTTGTTGCAATGATCATTTCAGGGTTTTCATTAAAATCTTTCCAGTGGTTGATAAGATATGTTTTTGCTAACGTCCTGATGCATCTCAGTAATCCAGGTAGGAAAAATCAAAAAGAAAAAATAAATAGGTCCTCTGGATGGGTCCTTCTTTAGTGAAACGTTTCATCTCTCCTCCAAGAGACTTCTTCAGTCTGAAGAGTTTCAGGTGAACTCAGCCTTATGAGCACTGCCTCCATTTGGACAAACAGGTTAGTCACATGCAAAAGAGGTGATACCCAACACAAAGAGGGAAAGAGGGACAAAAACAAGGGGACGTCGAGCCTCGCTTGCATTCACTACATACACATAACACGACACGGGTCAGGTGATGGGGCACAGAGCTAATCAAGCCTATTGTTAGGCGATGGCCCTCTTTTGCATGTGACTAAATAAATCTAAACAAGCCTATTGTTAGGCGATGGCCCTCTTTTGCATGTGACTAACCTGTTTGTCCAGGTGGAGGCAGTGCTTATAAGGCTGAGTTCACCTGAAACTCTTCAGACTGAAGAAGTCTCTTGGAGGAGAGATGAAACGTTTCACTAAAGAAGGACCCATCCAGAGGACCTACTTATTTTTTCTTTTTCATATTTCGCTAACAGACAGACAAACAAACATTGAGTTCACCCACCTGTCAACAGCAATGGCAGTGAGGGTGAAGACTGAAACGTACACGGTGACAGGTTGGATCAGGAACACCAGGTAGCACATGGAGCGGCCAAAAACCCACCCGTGCGGGTTGAAGGCGTAGGCGAGCGTGAAGGGGACGCACGTCACGCACATGAGCATGTCAGAGAAGGCCAGGTTCCCGATGAAAAAGTTGGTGACGTTGTGCATCTTGCGCGTTCGGCAGATGACGTACAGGAGCAGGTAGTTCCCGACGACGCCCACCGCCACCACTAGCACGTAGCACGGGATGATGAGAGGCTTGAAGGTCTGCAGCAGGGCCACGTCTGCAAACTGGGAGCTGCGGTTGGTGGAGTTGCTCTGCACCACGACCTCGTAAACAGCCGGCCCAGCCGAGCCACTGTGATTGCCTTCCATCGGAGCCGAGCTCAGTCTTTCAATGCCTGAGCTGAGAAACATACAGAGGAGCAGGTTCACAGCTGTCATAACAGACCATTAACAAGCTCTCTAAAGGCCAGATTATCAGGTACACACAAAATGCAAACAACATGTCAATGAAAAGAAGTTCATGACATTTATAGAAGCGACGACTATTAGTGGAAAATGCAGGCTTTTTACAAACACACTGACGCAGAGACGGCAGGAAAAGTGATTATTTTAAAAAAGGCATTACATTATAAGTTGGTATAACATAAAGTAATAAAATATGCTATTTGACAAGGTTGTGTCCTGATTTGCATGGACTGTAAATCAGCAAAATGTTTGGTGCTTTTAGCATCTGCGTGACTCAGGTCCATGATTTTCAAACATTTTGTCTATTTATGCTTATTTGCATCTCAGCTGAGGCTAAGTTAGGGAGGAAATTAAATAGGTAGAACTTTATAACTACACCTTACTTAATCATTAGTTAATTTTAAAAATAACTTCAATTAAGGAAGATTTATAGTTAAGATAAGACAAAACAAGATAAGATAAGATAACACTTTATTGATCCCACAGTGGGGAAATCTGCACGTAGGCTATAAATTAAAACATTTATTAATGCTTTACTAACAAAAGTTGATTACTTCCAAAACCATCATGGTTTATTCATGCTTAGTAACTCATGAAACATTGTTTATGGTGAGTGGGGATGGATTAAGAACTTATAAGTGTAAGTGGGCCCATTGCTCTCCCCAAAAAGACACTGGTCTTTATTCAAACCTTTGCATCCCTTGGATGAAGGACACAAGGTTAGAAACACTCAGTGTTCTGAGCTTTTTGGGATCCATAAAGGGTCCCCAAGAATTATTTTCCCTGTTGTTGAGACCACAGCAGTTTCTAATCCTTTGAAGTGAGCCTGACTGCCAGCTTGAGGTAGTCAGCTCTCTCGTTACCATTACTGCCAGTGTGTCCTGGTTTAACAATAACACTGTTGTCTCTCCCCAGTTAGTTCACTGCTTCAGCACACTCATGTAATGACGTAAAGTGTGGCCATAATAGCAGCTTGGCTATCTGTTAGTATGACTATTTCCTTCTGTGTACAATGAAGGTCTTTGAGAGAAGCCACACACTGAATGATTGTATATACTGTACCTCAGTTGCAAAACAACCTAGTGGGTCCTGCAGTTACTGGAGCAACATCACTGCCCAGTCTCAGATTCTAGTGGGCTTTGAGTCAGATAGGTTTTTCCACCTACCAGACTGGCGTAGCCTTATTGCACTGGATGCAGCCTCTGATGCTCAGGCAGGCCATTTGTTGCACATGGGTGAGCATCACTCTTGCCACCTCAACTTGGACTCGAACCCACCACGGTTTACCAGCATAGTATAGCACGGGGTGGACTATGGCCATGTAGATCCATCTGATAACCTTTGGGGTAGCACACCAACGACTACCTGCAATTCTACGGCACTGGTGTAGGCACATTGCACCCGCTTCGGATGTTATCATCCATTAAATGGACTTTATTAGCCGTTATCAGTCCCATAGAATGGCTTCAGATTGGCTTCAGACTGTCCCGACTGTGCCGCCTAGTGGGTTCTCCATCCCATAGAATGGCTTCAGACTGTCAGCTGTTTAGTATGAGGCATAAAACCACTAAGGTTTTTTTATGCAATCTGGTTAATATGAGGAATAAAGCCACTAAGGTTAATTTTAGAGAAAATGACATGGGCTACGATGAAGTAGACCGGACTCCGGCGGTAGCAGATTGTTGCATTCCAACGTATATGGTGCTGATAACCCACTAGGGGGCACTGTCAGGACAGTCTGAAGCCATTCCATGGAACTGATAACTGCTAATAATGCCCATTTAATGGACTGATAACATATGAAACGGCTGCACATTGCTGCCTTCTTACACTGTTCATTTACGTCTTTTTCCAATTAATCATCCTGTCTATATAGACACACAGAAATTTAACTGACTCTGACAGGGAGAGTTCTAGACCCTCCAACTGTGGAGGTGAGTAACCCTTCCTTGACTTAACACGTGAACTCATGAATTACCTAAAAGATAATGGATGAATAGATGAACGTTGTTCTTGTTTTTAGTTTTCTGATCAATTTTATTTGATACTTTCATTTAATTGTTTGCTTTAATTTAATTATGTGTCGTATTCTCCTTTGAGAATGAGGCCTTCTGTCTTAATAAAACTGCTTGCATAAATAAAGGTGAAATATTGCATATTTCACGGTCAGCAAATTGACTCTCTTGATGATGAATCTATCCTATAGATTTTCACTACAGCTACACAAGATTAAATCAATTAAAATAAATGAAGTATTCAGGTTTTTGTACTCTCATTCTACTAGTTTGAGGAGGTCTCTCCAATGAGCGTGCCAAGCTTGGCAACCTTTTGAAAAATGGCCCGGAGTTGTTTTTTTATTAGCAGGAATGACCTGGGATGATTTTATTCTATAGATCTTTGTCCTAAAATCACTTCAAAATATGCTTGCCTTGCATCCACCAATGCAGTTAGAAAGAAAAAAACATTTTACTAAGCAAAATCCTACGTGACAAGTTAGATCTTGAAGGACTTTTTGTGACCTTCATGAAACATCTGATAAGCATTCTTGTAAATGTTTGTGTGTTATTGAAAGAAATGTGCCTTTCTATGAGTGGCTAAAAGTGTGGGAGCTTTCAGAGTGCAGAGGCTGCATCCTCTAATACACTCTGATAGAGACGACTGCCTCTTTAACAACTCAAATGACAGGATGCAGTGGTGTAGCATTAGAAACGCAGGTTTTAAAGAGGCTTTTTAGACTTTGTGAAGAAGAAACCCCATTTTTGACTAGTAATAAGAGTACAAAAGCCTATGCAAGTATATTAGTACAAAAAATAAGGAAATGTGTGTTATTATTTCTTTGTTGTAACGATGCTTCTTGGTAATAAATCGTATAGTGGGCATCTGATTGGCAGCACCTGGGGTACCAGAGGCTCAAAACAAGAGTCAACAGCAAAGTTGTTTGGCAATTTTTTTTCATGTGAGTAACCCACAGCTCATCACACAAATGCATGTTCCTTACAAATGTTGCACCATTTAAAAGATAATTTAACAGGCTTTCTAATAGCATAAGATTAATTGCCAAGAAGCATTTTTATGACAAATAAATAATCTACCAAAGACAAATTTACTTACTTTTTGTGTTTTACAAGTTGAGAATAAAACAATAATACTATAAAATTTAGTGCACATACAGAATATTATTTTTTCTATTTTTTACCTAAAGATCCAACAAGTAAAGATGGTTTTTAAGGGTTTTTGTCATCATTCTTTGCTGCTAAGGAGCTGGTTGTGTGTTTTGCATATCATCAGTTTGCTGCATGGCATATTTTACAGCTACAACACAGATGATGACTCTTTATGGCTGCACACTTTAGTGACAATTCTCTATTACACACACACACACACACACACACACACACACACACACACACACA